CAATGAGACACACACACAATATGTTCGCGGTTTTAACCATGATGTATTTATTTGGGTGGATGACCCTAGGGAGCCAATGAAGCATAGACTAAGGAAGCAGAACACATGCTGACTAGCAAGTTCACAGTTTGCATGGATGCTTCGTGCATGACTCGCACTAGAAACCTAAGGATTTGGCCAACATTGCCTGTTTGGGTTGGTTTTGTGTTGCGGTCCAAGACCATTGTGCCTTTCCGTATTGACCCATGCATGGAACTTCCAATGTTTGTAGCGAAGACGGGAGCGCAGCTTTGGCTGCGTGCCACCCTCTCGGGCCCTTGCCCGCGCCTAGGCGCAACGCCGGAGGCGGGGTAGGGAGACGCCAAACCACAAGTTGACGTCAAGACTATGCTTGAAGCCTCCTGTGCGCAAAGAAGGAACCTTTGCCCAGATACATGTGATGACTGGAGGCTGAAAGACTGGAAGAGAATTTGGAGGAGACACATCATAGTAATAACAGCAACAATATGAAACGGACAAAGGAAGCAAGGAAGACGAGGACGGATACTACTCATAACAAGGACCATATTAATATCGATAATAGTAGCAACATTAATAGTAACCGTAAACATAATTGACTAGCAAATGAATATACATATACACACATATATATATATATATACATACATATGTATATATATATATATGTCAATGGTCGCCCCTGGAATACTCAGGTTGTTGTTCACAAATCAGCATCTTTGCTGTAAGAAAGCACGTTAGTGCCCTTTCCGGCTTCTAAACATGATGCATACTTAAATTATAGAATCAGTACTCAGTGCGATCCAGGACGTGCTAGCATGTGCCATCACATCCCGGATTAAAGATTGAAGACTGAATATTCTCTTAGAATTCCGGATGTGCCAGCACGTTCTAGCACCTCCTGGATTGCCCGAAGTATGGATGTGAAGATACAAAAAGGCAGACAAGGAGCGCACGTTCCAAGAATCAAGTTATGGATGCGCACTGCCTGCATTTCGCCAGGGGGAAAAGATGTTTTTTGACAGCTTTACAGTTTTTGGGGGCTTGAGGGCTGGCCAGGATGTAAGATTCGCAAAAAAGCAATTCCGGGAGATCTTGAATCTTCAATGTAGGTGGGAAAACCTTACAGTCTAGCAAGCACTGTCAAGCATTTTGGGGGCCAGGATTGAGGATGTTCTAAACAGATTTATGTGGAATCTTGCATATTCGACCTTCGATCCAGGCAGCAGGATTTGAGCAAATGCTGAAACTACGTTTTGCAGCATTCATTGCCAACAATGAGATCTATGTTGGAACAGCTTTTTTGATATTGGCTTGGCTCAGTTCTTGCTTGGTTAAAACACATGAAGTTAGAGAAGGACTATAATCCTATGGCAATTGAGCCTGATTCCAGGTTCAACTGGCCATGATGAAAGTTGTTTCTCCAATTGTTTTTTGACAGGCGCAAGAAACTGCAAAAAGGGTAAAGTTGAGTTTGATTTAAACTCAAGTATTTTTAATTGGATATCCTTCCTATATTTGATTCAGGGGCTGTTATTGACAGTGACTGAATCGAATTAGACAAGCGACGCACAACTTAGATAGTTGTTTTGCAATCTTGATTTAAACTTAGTTAGAATGTATGAACTTATGCACATAAAATTGACTTATCATGTAAATGCACCTGCGCAAGCACATGACGCGCTGTTATATTTGATTTGGATGTCAGTTGCACGTAGGAATGAGTTCCTTTCCCCCAAGCACCTCACACTGGCGTGCGCAAAGTGCAGTTAAAGTCACGTTGGCGAAGCGCACTTTGGCAGCTCCAGCTCAAAGAGCGCAACTTCCAGCACAAGAGTAGTACGCAAAGTTCGCTTTGGCACACTTCTACCTACATGCAACTGACATGTGCATAATATATGCATTCTAACTAAGTTTAAATTAAGATTGCAAAGCAATTATCTCAGTTGTGCGTCGCTTGTCTAGTTCGATTCAGTCACTGTCAAGAACAGCTATTGAATCAAATATAGGAAGGATATCCAATTCAAAATGCTTTCGAGTTTAAACCAAACTCAACTTGAACCGGTTGCGTTTTTGAGAAACCAGTTGAACCTGGAATCAGGCCCAATTTCAAAAGGATTTTAGTCCCTACCAAACTCCATGTGGTGTTTATCAAGCAAGTACTGAGTTGAGCCAATAACAGAGCAGTTTTTCAATCATAGGTCTTACTCTTGGCATTTGCTGCTGCAGTTTTACGCATTGTTTCACAGCAATTGCTCAAGTCGTGTTGCCCTGGATCGAAGGCCGAACATTCAAGAGCTTGACAGTTTTTTCTTCCCACCTACATTGAAGGATTCATGATCTCCAAGACTGCTAACACAAGGAATCAATGAATAGATAATTATTAGATAGACCGATAATTAAGTAAGCAAAGAAGCTTAACCAATGAAGACACACACACACACAAATACACAGTTGATAACACATTTGAAAATAGCAATGGTTGTAGAACACACAACATACAAAACACATGTAAGTACAATGTAACTAGATATGATAACATATAGTAGCACAGAATGATAATAAAGAAGTAAATAATGACAGTCATAGTAATGGTATTACGGATATGAGTAGTCATAATCATAACACACGCATCATGCTACTAATAATCATGACAACATAGTAAACATCATTCATGATGATGAGGAAGAGTAGGACGATGATGGTGGTGGTGGTGATGATGGTGGCGATGGTGGTGATGGTGATGGCGATGACAATGACAACCATGGTCATGGCGGTTTAAAAGCGAACCAGCGGACGGGCAGAGTTTGGCGGTTGTGCCACAGCGCGAGTTTCTATAATATGGCACTTTGGACAGTTTTCCTCCCTGGTACAAGGGATTAGCCATTGAAATCCTGTTCGCAGGCTGATGCAGCCACTCAGGCGAGCGATGTTTGTCGCGGAAGGGAGGGAGAGTCAGATCATTATGGTTGACCATCATACTGACTGGAAGGTGGAGACTTGCAGCTGTCATGCACGGTACCGCGGCTTCCTATTACCAATGCTTCCCATTGCAGATGCTTTGTCATGGTGTGCGCTTGCACGGCCGTTGCAGACTATAGACTGATGGGGTCAGAACGTGTCATATAAGACAAAAGCAGGTTTCATCATGGGCTTCTGCTTCTCCACTGCTGCTCTGAAGGTGGTTAGGGGTTCACACGTGGCGTGCACACCTACACACAGAGACAGTCCAGGGCTGCCGGCGCAAGCGCCGCTGACAGCAGACACAAGTTTGGCGATTGGTCCACGCACGCAACCCGAGAGGCCTCGGTTCTGCGCCAGATCCTCAGTGGTCAGGCCCGCCGGGTGCGTTCATGTCAGCCTCTGAATGTGTCAGGATTTGCCAGGCTGATCCCATGCAGACACAGGGTGTTCAACTCCTGTAAAAGCGCTGGAGGATGAGATCCTGCAACCCATCCTCTTTTGGCAAACACGCGGAAATATGTCTACATGCGTCCAGCCGTGCAAGCGCTCCCCAAGTCTCCTGCCTTTCAGGCTCAGGATGGGCCCACGCCAGTGCCGCCAGCGCCAGCACAGGCGCTGCCGGCGCCGGCGCCGGCCCCGAGTGTGCCCTCCCCCGGGGCAGCGAGCGCGCATGCGGTGCCACCGTGGAAGACGCCGCCGCCTGTCAAGCGCGAGCTGGGAGCCCGGAGCAAATCGGCCTGAGTTTTAAAGTGTGTGCAAATAGCTATATCAGACCATAAGTTAGAGTTTCGTGCTGATAGTATGGCACCACAGCGCTAGGGGCAGCTCGCTCTGGCCTCCCCGAAAAACGTGCACCTTTGAGAGGTATACGATGGGATCCTCTTCATGGCAGGCAATCCCGGAGCTTGATGCTTGTCCTTCGAACAATTTGTTGAGCGCTATCCCCCGTCGTCAGTGCTTGCTGTGGAGTGCCTTCGCGCTGCTTTGCGTAGGACACGAACTTAGCACTGGAAATCATGAAGACTTGCCAGCTTGGGATGCCACTCTGGAAGTTTGCCCACATTTGAATGTCCACAGAGGGCAGAGCTGGGTCAAGCTGAATTCAGCTAATTAGGTCTTGCAGCGGGGAGTGGTTGGGTTTGCCGCGTTGTGCGATGTGTTTGCTGCTTCATTTTTGCCTGTTTTTCGCCAGTGCCGGTTGAGGCTTGTAGCCGTGCAGATTTGTTCAAACAAACTCACCTCTATGTGGCCCTCAACCCCATTTCAGTTTCCACGCATTTACAATTCCCGGGTTGAAGAGGTTACTCAAAGTTGAGCCCGGCATGATCCGGTTCCGATCGCTTCAGGCCTGGAGCCTGAGCGCGGCGCGTTGGCTGAAGCGATGAATGAAAGGATGGCCTCGGGCAGTTGGTCTTGACGCTCTCACTATGATTGCCTGTTGTGCTCCACAAAGATGTGAGAGGTGCTACAATCAATCGATTGTTGTTTTTCGCGTTTGAAACGCATGGAAGCAGCCACTTTATGTGTGTGCGTGTGTGAGTGTGCGCGCTTTGTTTGATGCCGGGTATTGGCAAGGTGCTGTTTATTCTTAGAGTGGGTGCTGGAGCAGGCTGCGAGCTGTGCTCTAGGTCTCAGGGGCGAACCTGCACGTGATGTGAGCGCCAAAATGCCGCCGACCTGGCTCAAGTGAAAGCCGTCCCTGTGAGAGTGAGGAAGGTGTCGGAGAGTTTTGGACTGTGATATGGAGCAGGGATGTAGAGGGATTCAAATTCGGGACAGCCAGACTTTGTTGATGTGGGGTTACCAGAAACCAGGGGGGAGGTTGTAGGGTGGAGGGATTTTTGCAGTGTGGAGCAACGTGGCCTTGAGAATTTCTTGATATCTCTCACTTGACCACTGACATTTGTTTTGCTCACGGCTGCTGCACAAAGGCAGCGCGTACAGGTCTTCTTGGCTTTTTCGTTTTATGGGATGGGCCTGCTTTCCCCCATATGTTTGTTTGGTTTTATTGATTGCCTATGCCTCTGTCTGTGGAGGCCATGGAGTTTCACGACTTGGAGCAGGGCATTCAGCTGGGGCGCCTGGGAGCGGAGGCATCCGGTTGGTTATATCAGTCTGGAGAATTGTTTTGGTAGCCGAAATAGGGTGAAGCCGGAAGTGTTCAAACAGCAACCAGATCAGTTTTCTTCTGGAGGCTGTTGGGAGATATTGTTGACTGTATTTGGCCAGCGCCAGCTTGGCTACACTGCTATTTGACACCTCACCAGGCCTGTTGCGCCGAGTTTAAGGTACGCTGCCTCTGGGGGCAATGTACTCAACTGCCAGGACGGGAAGGGATTCGTGACACCGCCCTTTTTGAAGAGGTGTAAAATATGCTGGGCGAGATATTCTGATTCGGTGTGGATGCCTCTTTTCCTCATGCTGCTGGGGAGTGGCGGGAGCGAGAGATTTGCCGTGGAGTTTGCCAAACGGCCATTGGCAAGTTGTTCCATCAGGCTTCAGATTGCCAAGCTGTTCGAATCATACCGCCAGTCAATTGGAGCCTTCAACAAGTGATTGATGCAGCAGTTGAAGCCAACATGTTGATTTCAAGCCAGCAGCGAATAAGTGGTGTTCTAATCGTAGCATTCATTGCCATGTTGGGATGTAAGACATGGCAGGCCTGAGCCTTGCAAGATGCGCAGAGAGAAATTCAGCGTCCAGGAGCTTACTGCTCTTCAAGCCGGGCCGGCAACTCAGCACTGGCTTGGACCCAACTGGGGGGACAACTGCGCATGACAGAATTCAGGAGCTGCTCTCTTGGCTGCTCTGTGCAGCGATCTGCGCAGTTAAGCATGAACATTTTACCATATGAACACAGAGGACTCAGGGCATGCTGCATCGCAGAGAGAACAATTCGCAATTCCGAGGCTGGCCTTGCTGAAAAGCAAGGAGAAGTTTCAGAGTGTTTGCTTCTGGGGCAAGGCCCGGCTCGCCAAAGAAATGCCGATTCTGCGTTCGACTTGTGCTTCGACGGTCTTCTTACACAGCTATTGGTCCCTTTTGCTGAGTGTCCATTTGTGGCTACATGTGTATTTACCTTTGAATGTCACTGTCCATGCACGCACGTACGTACGTACACACACTGTACACGCATGTACACGCATGTACACGCTTGATGTGTGCATGTGTGTACATGTGTGTACATGTGTGTACATGTGTGTGTGTTTACAATGTGTGTACATGTACACCCACACACACATGTACACACACACACACCATTTCAACATGTTCCTGCCTCCCAACTAACACGGATCCCAGTTCCACAAGTCCAAACACCTTAAGCTGATCCCTCTAGATCCCTTGGCTGGGACGGGGCACCAGGGTAACATTGCAGGTCTTTGGCTTGGCTGCGGATTACTACGTGGCCCGGGCCCTCGGACTTTGTGAGAGGTGCACAGCAGCTCTGCGGCCATGCCTAACGTTGCTTTGGCTTCAAGCCAACTGTTGGCGCATCTTTGGAACCGGGGAACCGACATGTTCTATCTTCATGCCTGGCGAGGCTGTGCCTTTTCAGATCCAATCGCACGTGCCAGAATCGACGTTTGATGCTTCAGAGGGCGTATCTTTGCGTTTGGGCTTCAGGCCTTCGGAGTGCGCAGCGGAGACTTCGAGTTCCCCTCGAAGCACTTCTTCTTTGCGGGCAAGGACTTCGCGCGTCCTGGCTGAGCAGGTGGAGTTGTGAGGTGGCGCTTTTAATGGTTCGACGGGGTGGACAGGCTTAGATTTGAGGTTTCTAGTTTACTATATCGAAGCAGCAGCACTTGGAGCAGAATCAGGTGCAACAAGAAGCCAGACCGACTGGAAAGCTATGATTGGTTGGCGGGTGTGGCGTTTGCAGTCATGCTATGAAACCATTGAGCATTTCAGCTTGGTCATTATACGCTGATACGCAGAGGAGCATGCAGGCCGCTGGTGAGTTGATGAGCTCAGGTTTGCACCTCTGCAAGCGCCGACAGCGGAGGCCGGGAAGCGCGTGCGAGCTCCTGACAGGCAGAAGCCAAGGCTTGCACTCGCGGCCACGGGACCTCCGGGTGTGTATTGGGTATGCCGCCCGCGAGAGGCTGCTCTTCTGAATACTCAAGAATTCCCAGAGAGGGCCATGAGTGCATCTCTCGTCCGAGCCACACACCTCTCTGATGTAGGCATCTTGAGTTCTACCAATTTGCATTCGTGTTGGTTTGCTTTGTGTTGTGAGAGGAGGTGTTTCACTTTCCAACTTACCCACCACTTCACTGGATGGTTCCGCCTGTTTCACAGGGCGAAACCTGTCAGTTTTCCATTGGCTGTGGGGAGGGCGTACACCAGGAGGCTGCGCGTATTCTGGAGCTCTGCGGGGAGAAGCCTTTGACGGGCCTCGCGAGCCAGCGCCCCAAATTCCCGTCAAAACGGCTGGCAACCGTTTGAGTCAGGGAAGCATCGCATGAGGTCCATGTTGGTGCGGCTAATGACTAAGAATATAAGGGGATCTTGTTAAAACCCTTGTCCAGGCGCGCTAATTGAATTTTGCACTTGTCATCGGCCCGCGCATGGGCCCGTGTACTTGTTCTGGCTTGACTGATGCACGAATTCAAAAGCTGGCTGGTAGTCATACTCCTTTGTTCTAACTATGGGAGAGCTAGGGAAGAGCAGTTGGGAAAGGATGGGCCAAAGGCAGGCTGCCCGTGTGGCGTCTGCCAGACAGATGGTCTTCCTTGTCGGTTGCGAGAGCATATTTCCCAGACGAAAGACCCACCGGAAATCGATTGCACAGAAAATGAGGGGGAGCACCCAACGCAACGCAGCTTGATTGTTTTGGGGGCCAGCCCCCGGATCACTTGGTGGCACCTCAGAGGGCACCTTTCCCGAGGCAAGGAGCTGGAGCCGCCAAAGGAGGAGGCCCGTCGAAGACTGCGATGCCAATCGCGGGGGGGGGGGGGGGGGGGGGGGGCGGCAAGGCCTTTTCGGTTGCGCAGTAATCCAGCATCGGCGAATTCATGCTGAAAATTGAGAAGCTGCTTCATATTCGGCTTGGGGAAGGGCGAACCTGAGCGAACGGGGCTTCAGCATGGGGCCTGGCCCCCTCCGGTCAATGAAGCAAATTTACGTGAGGGTGGCCCTATGGCTTGCTGGGGCATCAGTGCTCATTATCATGGGGTCTGCATGAGCTGGTACATTAGACCGACCTGTCCTGTGGCAGAGTCACACCTCTTTGGACCATTGTGAAAAGTCTTTGTCACATCTGCCATTTTGCTGGACCGCAGTTGAAACAAGCACAACAAGCTCATTGTTCAGGATGTTCAGGGTAAACTGGCCGCCATGGGCCAATCACATGCAGGAATTGCTCCTTTGCTTATCGATTTTGTCAAGGCCACGTAAGAAACAGGTTCAAGTTGTCCAGGAGCCGCCTGCGGACGATCCTCCAGATGGTGAGCCGGGAGCTCAAGACATTGTCGCTTCTCAGGGGGCTTGCCGTTGAGAAGACCTTCACTCCAGCAAATTTGGGGGCTGATGGGTTTCTCGAAGGGTCTTCTTTTCAAGAGCTCCTGGAAACCTCCATGGATAGACAGGAAGCAAAGGGCCAATCGGTGCTCATTTCTTCGCCAGGCCGGTGGAAGGCCCAAAGAAGCTCACGGAGGTGGGAAGCCATGGAAAACTTTGATTTGCTGATGCCTACTCGATGCATCTCGCTTCTAGTTGAGAGGGGCACTCTTCCCAAGCTGGAGCTGTGTTTTGGCGCGTGGCTTTCAAGAGTATAGTTGACGACTGGCTTTCAGCCCTTTTGCTTCACACGCACACACATCTTCTCCGGCCGCATGAACACCGGAACATGTCCTTTCTACCACAGAGACACACACACACACACATCTACACATCAAGTGGCTGATTCTTTGACATTCCTCCGACAGATGCGGCGCTCTGGATTCAATGGCCAGGTCGACCGACTAGCGCAGCTTGTGCTGGAGATCGACTTCGACACCTCTTGCGTTCCAAGAGGCGCTGAGAGGAAAGTGGAGCAGGATGAATCGACGAAGCATTGGAGTGGCAGGATGAGGTCTTGTAATAAAAGTGAGTCACTGGCAAGCGCGTGTTGCAGCGACACTGCGACGACTGTGTAGTGGCTACCGGGTAAGCATGAGGTTCCTTGCAGGTTGACCTGTTTCAATTTCAATTGTGAATCTCTTTGTTCGTCGCCTGTGATCTCATCCGCTTGGACGTTGACTGATCGAAACGCTTGCAATATGTTCAAAAAATCCCCCACGCATGTGAGTTATGCTGTTGGCCAGCAAGGGCATACAATTTTTGATTTTGGTCGCTAGGTTTTCCATTCCGCCAGCGATCCAGGTGCCTACTGCATTGACGAAGCCCACTCCATCAAGTCCTCTAAGGACTTCAAGGGCGAGCGTCTCAGGTGCAGCGGGGCAATGTAAATCCAGCTGGATGCAGCTCAGGCCTGGGCTGCATGGATGCCCTGGCACTCACCAGTTACGTGCACTTCCGGGCCCCGGTGAGCGCGGGCGCCCAGGTAGTCACCAAAGCAACTGCTGGGCAACATCAATCCCATCTAGAGAGCGGTTTGCATGTCCCAAACCGCTCATTGGTTGCATGGGTCAGGTCCTCAGGCCGTATCACATTGTGAATCGGATTCTCCCCAGCTGCGCTGCTTACCACTACACAAAACAAGTTTCAGCTTGGACGATGCTGAATGTTGTAAGGTGTGTTACACAAATTAGAAGAAGTCTTTCCGGCTCAAGATTGCCACTTGTGCACGCCAGCATCACGTACTCAACGATGGGGGGGCGGGCTTGCTGCGCAGAGGCCAGGTGAAGCTTGCTGACCTCCAATTCATCCAGCTGTGAAGTATGACGTTCAGTGCAGCCCATTTCCTTTTGTGCCACAGCTGAGCGGCTCCCACAGTCCCTGTTAGATTGCATCTATTGCTTTTCCTCAGCTGGTTGAAGATGACCAGGCATAAAACTTTTCCCCACGAAGCTTCTCCAAGATCACCATCACTTGCAGCCAAAGACGCCAAAGCTTCAAGGCATCGCGGCGCTTCGCAGCCTAGCCCGCAAGGATGCCCAGGCACGTTCCCGACGGACGAAAACGGTCCAGTTGTTGAGCCCCGACTGGGGCTGTCATGGCAGGCAGGCCGAGTTGTCCATCCAATGTCTGAGCACAGCGGGTCCCCTTCTAAAGAGAAATGCGACTGAGTTAACAGCGGCCATCTTCGCAGGTCTACAGTCCTCACATCTTGGACGGCCTGGACAGCGACCAGCCGAAGGGCTGCTGGGCCTTGCGCAAGGAGCGGTCGGCGGTTTTCGGCTTCCTGGGCGCAGGAGTCGCCAGCAAAACGGAACAGCCAGACTCGTCCGTATGGCCCTTCAGATGCTTTTTGGCAAAGGGTCGAATGTCTGCTTTGGGTCTAGATCTGCTTTGGGTCTAGAGGCCTTCCGTCATCCAATTTGGCGTTGCTTTGGACCCGTAGAAAGGCTCATTTCTTTGGGATCTCGCTGCAAGTCACTCGGATGGTTTCAGGTGCAAGATGTGTTTTTTGGGCCTGGACAAATCTTGCGGTGATTGCCCCAGGGCATGCCTTTGCATTGAGCCTGGCCGTGCGGAGGACCCCACCCAGAACTTGGTGACCCTCAGGTCCTTGAGCTGGCCTGGTTACATTGCCTACCACGTCATGGACTGAGAAGACCCATGGGTGGTCACATGGGTGGTCAAGGGCGACATCCATCATTTTCTGCCTGAGCCCTCCAGTCGGCACAAGCATGGGACGGACAGCATGACAGGAACTTGGCAATTCGCAGCTTCCCGGCTCAGGTGTCGGGCACAAAGAAGTTCGGCGGTGCCTACTTTGGCTATGCGCAGAAGGATCTCTCACTGCATCAACCTTGGTTTGGCCGCCTGTTCACTCTGCCCCGCAGTGTTCGTTTCTTGAAACTCATTTCCGACATGCAAACTGTGCGTGATTTTGCAAAATAGTTTTCGGGGCTTCTTGAGGCCGCTGATTCAACCGAGGCCCTTCGTGCTGTAGCCGAAAGGACAGCGGCGCCTTTTTGCAGCATTGTTCACGCGCGACTTGAGTTTAACCCTTGGCTAAATTCTAGATTCATCGAGGACCGCTGCAAATCTATCAAAACAAGCGCCTCTTCGTGCAATAGGGGTCGCTCATTGCAAGCCCACTATGGATGTTGCATCCGTCCGTGAGGCGGCCGGGGAAAACAAGTCAGGAAAAAGGCTTCGAGTGCATCTCAGCCTTGAGCCTCCCTTCCTTCTGCGGCCTGCGCAAACCAAAGCGGTTGCTTTGTGTTGGGAGCCACACCTTGACGGACCCCTGCAGTCAAAAAAGGAATTGCGGGCAAGGGGGTCTTCATGGCATGGGCGACGATGAGCGGAAGGAGTTCGGCTTTGTCGCAGATATCCTGAGGGGCGCGCTGGGTTTCACCCAAGTCGGGATGGAGAGGAGCACTGGGGGCTGCAAGGTTGCAGCTGACGCTCCTTGGCCGCGTGACGAGTTGGCAAGGGATCCTGTTTGGTGACCATCACGAAGCTTTGGCTAGGCCAGCAAGATATCGTTGATTTTGGATGTGTTAGTGTCAGACCGTGTTGCAGTGGACATTGGCCGGGCACATTTCTGTGGGCCTGGACGGTTTCACCCATCACACCAGAGAATCGCTCGGGTGTTTTGACATCCACTGGAATTGACTTGACCTCGTGGAAAGCCGCTGTCAGATTCTTTTTGGTTAGAGAGGTCAGAAAGAAACAACAGGTATGAGCAAGTCAGGTCAAAGAAGAAGCCCAATGAGAGGTTCTTTCTATGATTCGGCTCTTTTCATACTAGTCTTTCTACCGTGCTTTTGGAGTGTCATCTCGCTGGGATACAAACAGAGATACTGGCAGAAAGGGTCAGGGTCGAATTGGTTTGAAGCAGTCCTCGTGTTTTAAGGGGCCTAGCGCACTGTCATTCTGGTACTCGCATGGCTGTTGCCCATGAGGCAGTGTCATCATGTTCTCTCGGTGAACAGCTGTAGTATGCCAGCTGTTGTCTGTACACTATTCACCAAAGCTCCTCTCACACTGACGTCCTTGAAGCTGGCTCAAAGTTACCAGCACATGATTGGTTTTCATAGCAATGTTTATACAGTTTATATGAACCACTTGTGTCTAAGGTACTCAACTAGTAAACTGGAGGCATCAAGGAGGCATATTGCAGTTTGCCTGCCAGCAGTACTCAGGAGGACAGTTGGTTTTGAGATTTGTTTTCACTCGTTGTACTTGGATCTCGGCCACTGCGAACTCACTGCGCGCCGCAATGCCGGCCTGCTTTGCCCCGCCTCCCCGGACCGCGTTCTCGGATGCAGGCACGGCGAATCGTTGGCCAGGAGGATTGGGTCTCCATCTGGCCCGTGGGATTGGAATTGGGTTGTGGAATCGTGGCATGGGAAAACATCTTGGCCTGATTTGGCCCTTGAATTGTGCTGGGTCAAGCTGCATGCAGGTGAAGTGCATCCAAGGGTGTTGAAGGGTGTCGAGGGAGGTGTCGAGAGATGCATGCTTTCTACTCAAAGAAGGCGCCTATTGGTCGAAGATATTTGATGCTTGCCCTTGCATGCCTGGAACATCTATTGGAGTAAAACACAGTGGTCTTTGTCCTATGTTGTGTTCAAATTTGCAAAGGTCCTGGGTTGTAGTAGGCATAGCCTTACTGGCTTTGAGTGAGGAAGGGCTAGCCAACAACTTACACCAAGGTCTTGGTCTGCAAGAGAACTGCAGACATCGGGCAATTCACAAACAAACTCGGTAATTCATTTGGACTCTTGATTGAAATGCTTCGGTAGATTGGCCCCGCTAAAAGTACAACTGATCCTCAGCTGCACCTTTGCAACGCGTTGACACATAGCAATTGTCGGCGAGGATGACCTGTAGAAAGAGAACACTTGTGGGCGCCAGCCCACACTGTACCATCCAACTTTGGCAACATGTGGACTGCCAACTTGGGGGTGAAAGAAAAAGGCCCACACAACTTGCATCATACCGCACGGCTCATCGCCTGCTGCATAGTTATTCTTATCATTCTTATCATTCTTATCATTCTTATCATTCTTACCATTCTTATCATTCTTACCATTCTTATCATTCTTATCATTCTTATCATTCTTATCATTCTTATCATCCTTATCATCCTTATCATCCTTATCATCCTTATCATCCTTATCATTCTTATCATTCTTATCTCTGGCTTGTTGTAAACATATCATACCAATGACACATACAAGTTTTCCGTCAACGCTTTTTTTTGATGTGTTGGCTGCATGTTTTGCATGCGCCTTCGCAGGCCCCAAGCTGCATGACTTCAAGGCTCGAGCTGGAGGTGACAATCATGTGCCCTTTGAGGAATGCATGACACTTCTGCGATCTGGGGAGGGGGGAATGAGACACAGCAGGTTTTGAAATTGACAGTCTCCCTACATTTCATGGACGGAGTCGCACAGGGTCGTTGAAACGACTTTCTCGCACAGCACCTTGTGCCACCTTCCGTGCTCATTCTGCGTTCTGGCGTGCTGCCCTCTTTGGATGTAGCGAGCCGGCTTCCACTGGCTGCCGGATTCACTCTGCTGTTGGCTTGCTGGCGAATACTAAGTGAGGGGTGCAGCTGGGTGGTTTGGCAAGGACTCCCCGTAGACACATTTGTGCGATGCATTTGCCACGCTTCGCATCGGCTATCTAGCCCCCCGCCCTGTGCCCCCCCCCCCCCCACCAAAGGCTCAAGGGCTCAATCGCCCTGCAACTACCATGTGTGCGTTCGCCCCTGTCCAGGCCAAAGTCTGCCCGTTGCAAATCCGCCAAAGCGCCTGCCCAATGCCAGGCTGCCCAATGCCAGGCGGACGCGCAGCTTGCCACCTGCGGGGGCCCTCGGGGGTCGGAGCTGGGGTTTACCAACTCGCTGGAGCTGTTGCACTTACATATTTGCTTACGAGAGGGAGTATACTGGGAGAGCAAAGAAAGGGATTGTGGCAGCGCCCTCGGCTACTCTCCGCCGCAAATGCGGCAGTCTTTTGGCGAGTGCCAGGAAGAGAATGAGCTTTCAATGCCTTCGTGCAAAATGTCAAGTCCATGGCCCATCCGCGTGCCAAATGGCGTTACAGCCAGCAAGATAGGGTATGCACTTATTGCATAGTTTGCCAACATCATGTTGGTTGAGGCTTGTGTCGTGGCTTATATACGAATGATTATTATTCAACCAATGTCATGTTTTTGCTTTTCAATATGTAGTTGCTGTGAATTCAGATGCTGGGAATCCAACTATTTGCAGTTCTTGATCATATTGTAAAATAGAGTCGAACTAGCAATCATATTATGGCATACGGTCCGTGGTCTTCTAACCCTGCAGGCAGGCAGGCTATTATCCTCCGCAACTGCACCAATTTTGGTTCCTCGTGGACTGTTCTTTTTTGGTGTTGACTCTTGTGCACTGCTCTGACTCGAGTCCTTTTGTTTCGCGAACAATATTAAACTCGAGACTTGTTTTCTGTCCATTCGATCCTTTTCGGGAGTTTTGCTTTGAGAACTCGAGGCGGGCTCCTGCTGCAGTGCGCCCAGCGCACGGCGGAGGCGCTGAACAGCGCCGGGGCCGCCCTGCAGCGGGAGGCAAGCGGGCGGGAGGCGGGAGGCGGGAGGCCTTGCGGAGCCTTGGCTTGGGCTTGGCAGAGGCGTGGCACGGAGGTGTGTCGATCCCGGGTCGCAATCGGAAGAGTTGAACTCCGTGGCCGAAAGCTGGGTCAAGATGTTGAGCACCTGTTAGGGATCCTGCTTTGGGATCGCGACATGCCGTTTGGGCGCCAATTCAATATCCTGAGAACATTCCTGCATGGGTTCTTCCTTTGCTTTGAAGCGGCCAAGCAGCACCGGAGAGCAGCGCTGTAGCAAGCGCTTGATGGCAAACTCTGGCGGAACAAACTGTCACCAGTTTCAAATCACACAATACTACATCGGTGGAAGAATGCAATCCAACACTTGTACCATGCTTGAGACAATGCAAGATACGCGTTTAAGTCAGGCCCAATGGTGAGCTCCGACAGCAATGATAAGATCCTTTGAAGCTTTTTCATTCACATTGAATTTCCTCAAGTTTCCTCCTCTTTCCTCCACATGACCTCCTTTCAAGAATGCCACCAGACGAGCTAGGGAAAGGTTCTCATAGATTGACTCATGGAAATGGCATTGGAATCCTTCAGCTAACAATTGCAACCCGCCGCAATTCTGATTCATCCCCAGATGCGAAGGTCATGGGCACCTTGCAGCCGCTGGCTGCCAGCTTTCGTGCAGAGGGCATGGGCCGCCCGGCTCAAAAGCAGGATGCCAACTGGGTCAACAGGTTCCTCTCTTGATGAATCTTTCTGCAATTAATCGTTGCGTAACATAAGCCTGTCTTCCTGCCCGTAACAGAAGGAAACATGCGCTTTGCAGGTCTTCACTCCGTGCTTTGTTCACGTTGGAGACTTTGTGCGTGCTTCACCTGGTTCTCCCATCCAGCGAGTCCTCCAGACCAGCAGAGACTCGGAGCTGTGCGTGCCGCGGCTGCGCTGCACTGAGGTGAGACAGAGGCGGAAGGTAGCAGCAGGCGCAGAGGGATGCTGCCCTGAAACTACTTGGCCGGGCCCACCCGGTGCAATACCCTCAAATGTGTTCTTTGTCTCTTTGAGAGGATCGCTTGATGTCGATTCGGCGATGGGGTTCTGCGGCCCCCAGCACTTGGGCCATCGACGCTTGCTTTCTCCTGCAGCCGATTCGAAGCATGACAAGACCATCTGATCTGTTTGCAAGGTGCCTACTGGCTGCTTGCGAAGGCCTGGGAGCCACGCTGCTGACTCTTGCGGCGGTGCTCACAGGCGGGAAATGGAATCGGTGGCAAGGGCTGAGTGCTTGACCAGAAAAGTGACCGACTGGTCTTGAAGTATCTCCGTTGATCACTCTTTTGCGTTCTCATTGACCAATTGTGCGAACATCCTGGTTTTATCTTTTGCTGGTGGCATCATGGACTTGTGATTTTTCTCTGGTCGATTTGGAAGGTTCAGGAGTCAGATGGACACCGCGTTTTCCTTGAGGTAATGCGTGTTCTTTTGTGTGCTTGCTTTCTTGCTTGCTTGCTTGCTTCTTGCTTGCTTGCTTGTTTGTTTGTTTGTTTGTTTGTTTGGGTTGTCTGTCTTTTTCCTGTATTTTTATTGTTTGTTTGTGTTTGAGCGATTGTTCGATTGCCTCATTGGCTTTGCAGCGGCCCTGTCAGCAGCCGTTTTTTGGGATGTGCCACTTCGCAGTCATTTGCAGTCTAGTTGCATACAGTGCTCTCGGGGAGGAGGTTTGACATCTGTTACATTCCCGGTGCTTGCTGCAACATCCCTGTTTCGTAAGGAGCTTTCGGCTGGGCTCCGGAGCATGTGAAGTGGCTGTTTCGTTCAGCGCAGAGCTTCAGAATGACCTCAAGATCTTTGGAGCGCAGGTGAGCTGTTGACGCCGCTGGTGGAGCTGCGCAAGAGCACCTCCCAGGCGCATTCGTGTCTGGGCGGAGAAGCCAAGGCTTTGTAATCATTCAGTCTCCACGTATGTATATTATATATATTTTTTTATACATTTCTATATATTTGCACATAGACATAAATATCGTAAGTGTATGTGTAGCTGTGAAATGTGTACACACGCATAAACTCATCCTTCGAGAGGAAATTTGCTGGAAGCTTCTTTCCACGAATCAGATGGTCACATGCTGTATCCCAAACCATTGCCCTGGCCAGGCTTGGCCCCCAAACGAGTTTGGCCCCACGGCGCCAAAATGCGGCGATGGCACGGTGAGTGCAATGTGTGCAGGCACAGCAGAACCTGCAGCAAGAGCTCGAGCGGCTCGAGCAGCGGGAGCTCCGTGAGCGTTCGCGCCCCGCACCAGGTAGCTTCAGAAAGTTCCACTCCGCACCAGGTAGCTTGATAAACCGAGAAGAGGCTGCGGCTCCATTCCAAAAGACTTCATGCGAGTGTGGAATCATGAGACCGTTCTTTCTGAGTCTTTTGCCTTGACTGACATTAAGGCGCTGGCATCAGAGATTATATATGGAAGGGTGAATGGGTGAATGGATGAATGGGTGAATGGGTGAATGGGCAAAGTTTGAAGCAATCATTTTCTGACTGACCTCTCACGGGGTGTAACTTCACATTCCCTGCCCTTTTTCCATACAACTCGCCAAGATCGTTCTTGGGCTCTCTTGCAGGAGCTGATGTGCTGCGAGGCTCTGGCGGAGAGCGTTGCGAGGAAGGAGAAGGTCTCCGGGGAGTTGCAGGACTGACTCGCAATGGCTCGCCCATTGCTCATTCACAGGCCAAACAAAAGGGAATCACGGAGCATTTTTTTTGGGATGCTGCTCAGGGCATGTGGGAATACCCAGATAGGCACTCACGTACTCATCAGCTAGTCCGCCTCATCATGACAGACATCGCGGGTTTCACG